ATCACCAGCAACTTTCTTTTACTTTAAATGCTACACATATTCATAAAAGGTCAATAAAGAAGAAGAAGAAACAAACACGATTTTTGATATGGTTAATGTAGGTTTATACTTGTAACTCATAATATTATAAAACTCTGTGTAAATTATATATTCAGATGTATTTATCCTAGTTCTGTCTAATATTTTTCTAGGTGGCTCTTGGAAACGACCTGCCCGACACATACCAGCTATGGTATTCGGATACAACTGTGACATGTCTTGGGTCGGCAGAAATCACGCTTGCGGTTTCTAATGTTGTAGGAGGAGGTGTTCTTGTTGGTCCTCTGTCACAACTTCAACTGTTTAATCCAGTCACTGGTCAGCAACTGGTAGTAGATGAACTCTCGTCCCCAGTGACTTCCACAGTTCGTGTGGAGAAATCACAAATTGAGAGTGGTCAGACACCTGCGGTAATTTTATCAACGTGGATTATTGGATTAATTTATATTATCTCAAAGTAGTTTTCGACTATATTATCCCTTTCTATGTTAAAAAAACAATCTTATAATTATATCAAGTTAATATTAAACATTGATCTTGTAAGATAAAAATGCCGTAGAATATTATGACCAGTTTACATAGCTACATTTGTGTATTTCAAATGTTATTTTTGTATTTTAAGATATCTAGCTTACAGAATATGCAAGTTTACAAAACAATCTCTATATCGAAATACTGGGTAAACAAAAATTAATTTCATTGGCTCTTTCACTGTTTTGTGGGTGTGGCCCTGTGATAGAACTCTGGATTTCGAAGCTGGCGAAATAATAGAAATAAAGAAGATTATAAAATTAAGTATAAATTTAAAAATGCTGATTGGAATCAATTTAAAGACATTTTGGAAAAGGAATTAGAAGATTATAATTTTGAAGTTGTAGAAAATGAAGATCAGTTAGAAGAATATGTTAGTATTATCACTAAAGCTCTTAAATTAGCTGTAGATAAAATATACCAAAATATATGCTTAAAAACTAAGCTGGAGTTTTACTGAAGAAATTGAGATTGCTATTTAAGAAAAAAGGAAACTTAGAATATTATATACGAAAAATAATAATTTGTATTTTAAAAAATTGTTTAATAAACAACAAAGGATAACTAAGGGTTTATTAACAAACAAAAAATTAATAACTTTGATAACTTTTGTAATGATTTAGATAAAGAAAAAGATACAGGAATTTTTTTGGAAGAAATTTGAAAATTACGTAAATGAAAATAACGTTAAAAATAATATTTCTGAGCTTGTAAAGTTTTTTTGTTTGTTTGATTGTAATTAAGCACAAAGCTACACAATAGGCTATCTGTGCTCTGCCCACCACGGGTATCGAAACCAGCATTCTAGCCTTGTAAGTCCGCAAACATACCGCTGCACCACTGGGGGGGTAGCTTCTAAAGTATAATATAATTTCTAAAATAAATAAAGATAATGCTAATCTCTTTTAAAAATATTATTTGTGAGATTACCAAAGAAAGTAATGGTACCAAATTTAATATAGAATGATATATGTATGTGAATGAAAGAATTAATAAAGATAGTAGGTTAAAATCAAATATTCCTTTCAAGGCTGGCGATTTTTCAACTACAAATGGAAATGAAAACCCTGTAAAATTTAATGTTCAAAATATAGAGATAAATTAAACAATTGACATTTTTAAAAGCATTGATAAAACTACATATCCTGGTGTTGATGAGATTCAATATATATAATGCTCAGAAATTGTAATAAAAATATTTATACGAAATTAGTAAATATATATACCTCATCATTGAAATCTATTTATATTTCTAATTCATGGAAATTAATTATTGTGATTGTGATACCTAAGCCTAACAGAAGAAAGACCCTTCGAAGCGCCCCCAGTGGCACAGCGGAATGTCTGTGGACTTACAACGCTAGAAACCGGGTTTTGATACCCGTGATGGGCAGAGCACAGATAGCCCATTGTGTAGCTTTGTGCATAACATCAAACAAACAAACAAACATGGTCAAAGTATTTGAAAAAATGATTAATAACAAATTAATAAAATTTCTTGAAGGTAATAAAATGTTAAATCCATATCAGATATGTTCAAGAAAAAATCATAAAACAACTCATAACCTTATTAGATTAACTGAATTTATAGTAGATGAGTTTAATTATAAGAACCCTACTTTGATTTTAATTTACCATACCTTGTAATGAGATTGTTATACAGTTTTTGTTAAAAATAGGGAAAAATGAGATTAAATAATAGTGTTTCAGACATATATGTAACTGAACTGGGAGTGCCATAAGGAACAATACTACGTCCACTACTTTTCAGTATGTATACAAATGACATACCTTGTCCAACAACTAACAAAGGATTTATTAATATTGAACAGTATGGGGATGTCATTACTTAAGGGGTAACTAATTACTCAGTTCCAATAATATTAGAACATCTGCAATTAGCTTTAATAGATTTAGAGTTACGGCGTCCATTATGAAGGATCTACTTGAATCCTGAAAAGACAAAGTTCGTTATTTTTCATAGGAGAAATGATAATCCCAAAATAAGTGTAAAAAAAATTAAAATACTAAATTACAAATACATAAAACGAATATAAAAATAATTGAAACTATAAAATAACTTGATATTTTATTTCATAGGAAATTAACGTACGGAGATCATATAAATCCTTTAGTATAAAGAGGGTGGATAAGAATGAATAGTCTTAGGAAAATTATAGATAGATATCGGGGGTGTAGTGGTAAGACTATAATTAAAATATATAAAGTATACATAAGATCTTTATTTGAGTAAAATATGAACAATCTAAAGATATTGTAAACAATTCAGAAAAATGTGTTAAGGTTCGCTACAAAATCCCCTTTAAATGTTCCTATTAAAGTTTTAGATAAGAAATTCTCCTTACCTCTACTTAATGAAAGAACTAAATATCTAACGCAGAGATATTATAAAAAAAACAAACAATCAGTTTAAAACCGACCGCGTTCTATTTTACTTGAACTTTTCTTAATAACGTTTATTTTACATTTATTTTACTAAATGTGATCACAAGAAAGTTATAAGCATATGTGTAAGTCTCTATTTGTATGTAAGTTTTTTTAACTTTATATAATGCAACTTCAAACGTTTGTAGATCGCATGATGTTACATCAGTGGCTTGTGGCACAAATTAGGCTTAAAACTACTAAACACGTAGTACTTTTGGAGGTTTTATTGCGTATTGACATATCACTGACAGCTATGAAACTTAACCGAAAACTGGATGTTAACCGAGTTGCTTTAAGTTGTGCACATGTATTGATATGTACATAGGTGCATGGTATTTATATGGATGGTGTTAAATATAGCAATAAATGTTGGTGTATAGGTGTGTTTATGCACTGTTTGGTCTCCTATTACTGCTAACTGTTTAGGCTTTTCTCAACTCGTACAGCAAAACAAGGTAAGGTGGTTTTAAAACACTCTGTACCACGTCAAAATTTTCCCGAATAAAACATAATTATGCGTAATTTTTAATAATATTGATGCAGTTAGATCGATAAGCACAAGTCTAGTGGTAGAATCGTAACGAAAGAGAAGCGAGGAAGAGATTTTTCCTTGCGGATATTTCTTTACGCCATTTACAAGAAGCATTTAATCCATTTTATATCCGAGAGCATGCGCATACCGAATCGTCTTGATGAGCGGATAAAGAGATAGCGTTCTCAGCTTAAATGGAATTAAACAGTACAAAGCCTCGAGAAAGGGAGTGGAACTTTAATCTTTGATGTATTGACAAATAGGAAATACATATAAGAATAATATGCTCATTAAAAACGCATTTGCTTTCTATCACAAAGATACATTTGGAGAAAGGAACAGACGAGACTTTCGGAAGCATAATACATGTATGATTTTGATCAGCCTAAAGTTTGTTTTAAGTAAATAAGGTTAGATTTACTGTTTATTTGTAATTAACCACAAAGCTACACAATGGGCTATCTGTGCTCTGCCCACCACGGGTATCGAAACCCGGATTCTAGCATTGACAATTGAAATTTAGATGAAAATAGATCTTAAAACCTTAAGTCCACTGAATTATAAATTAAATTCATCATCTATCCTACAATCCAATTATTAAGCCATATTGAAACAAGAAATTACTATTAAAATGTACATCACACATCATAATGTTACTTAGAATAATCAAATAATTATACTAACATTTACAATACCATATCATTGTAATGATTTAACAGCATTTAAAACTTTATTATAAATTAATTCATATATCGACTACACGATATTAATTAAATATAAAATTACTCTTTTTTTTTTAAATTTTACATCCCTCAAAACAAAAATGTGAAATTATACATATACAGTAAAATTAAATTCATGTGGAACTAAAATTTATAACAATATAAACTTAAAGGTTAATTATGTTCATAAAATCTTCTAAATTTGGTTTTCCTTCTAATTTTTTCTAACAAGTAGGAGTTCTCAAACATAGATTGTAAAACGATATTCAGACATAGATTGTAAAATGATATTCAGACATAGATTGTAAAACGATATTCAGACATAGATTGTAAAATGATATTCAGACATAGATTGTAAAATGATATTCAGACATAGATTGTAAAATGATATTCAGACACAACATCCTAGAGATTTTGTGATGTTAGCTGTACAATATTGATCAGATAGAAACTGTACGAAGAGGTAAGATAAGATGATATTAATAATAATATATAATATCATTATTACCACTATTATTATTACTTTACGTTTTAATTAACTTTACCTGAAATAAACCGGTCTTTGGATCCATATCTAACAAAGAGTAATCTGCTTTTCTGTCCCCGTTCTCGTCAATACTCACGTTACCTGTAATCCCTTGAAATATCACAGATAATAATGTATGTTATCATGTTCTTGAAAAGAAAAGAACAAGCAAAAGGCAAAGGTATTAAAATAAATTAAATATTCATTTATGTAGAGGGGAAATCACAAATACATCAGAGTCTATTCCTTCTTTTTTATGGTTATACGCTAATAAAGCTTCTAGACCAAAACACAAGCCCTCCTTCATCCAGTTATGAACTTCTGTCGCAAGACGTTTGTCAACGAGCAGCTTAGCTTCATCAGACAACAAAAAATAGGAAACTAGGGTTCACTTCCATTGAGAACTGTGTGCCTTTACTCTCTCTCTTTAAATATATATATAAACTTGTGTGTATGCGTACACTAGGGTTCACTTCCACAGAGAATGAAATAAAATAGAACACATAAATTGTACTAGTAAAGCATAAAAGAGAAATAATAGCCCATTAAATTAGACAATTATTGAAACTGTTCGTATCATGGACAGATTAACGTTTCTACACATAATAATATAGCAATAATACGAAAAACTGACTTTACTTTACAGCGTGACTGTACAATGATATCACTAAAAAGTTTGCAAAATGTAATTTTGACAACTACTGATTTTATGATAAAACTGTATACAGATGTTCTGACAAAGACTAAAATGATATTCAGACATAGATTGTAAAATGATATTCACATATACACCCAAGTTTATATATATATATATATTTAAAGAGATAGAGTAAAGGCACGCAGTTCTCTGTGGAAGTGAACCATAGTTTACATATACACACAAGTTTATATATATATTTAAAGAGAGAGCGTAAAGTCACGCAGTTCTCTGTGAAAGTGAACCCTAGTTTGCGTATACACACACGTTTATATATATATTTAAAGAGATAAAGTAAAGGCACGCAGTTCTCTGTGGAAGTGAACCCTAGTGTACATATACACACAAGTTTATATATATATTTAAAGAGAGAGAGTAAAGGCACGCAGTTCTCTGTGGAAGTGAACCCTAGTTTACATACACACAAGTTTATATATATATATATATTTAAAGAGA